CAGCCCCCATTGTCCATCACCTCTTGGGACGATCTGGCTGACAAGTTCGTGCACAGGTATTATCCAGCATCGAAGACTACAGAGATCCAGCGGGAGATCACTCACTTCCGCCAAGAGCCAGATGAGTCACTTCGTGATGCTTGGGAGCGGTACATGGGCTATTTCTGGCAGTGTCCCCATCATGGCTTCAGTGATGCATTCATAGTGTGGAATTTCTACAGTGCCCTCTCTCCAGATAGCCAGAGGGTGATTGAGTCTCTATGCCCAGGAGGGGATATTCTTACTAAGACTCCACCAGAGCTGAACCAGATGATCAGTACTTTGGCTGCCAGAGATCATTCTTGGGGACAGGGTAGCCGAGGCAGACAGTCCCGGGACTGTGGTGTGCACGCCATGGAGACCAGATCCGGGCTTGAGCAGCAGGTAGCTGAGCTAGTGCAGACATTGAAGCAGCCCAACAGTCTTATTCCGGGCAGAGGTTTGGCTACACCTCCAGTACCTCAATGTCAGTGGTGCGAGAGCTCCAATCACCTAGTGGAGGACTGCCAGGCTATGAGGGAGTCCACCACACCCCAGGAGCAGTTGGCCTACATATAATGAGGGGTGGCGCCAGCATCCCAACTTTGCCTGGAGCAGCAACACCACTAAACCACCTGGTTTCCCAGCACCAGCAGGTGGTTTTCAGCAGAGGCAGCCCTTCCAGGCTCGCCAGGGGCCAGACCCACAGCAGCCCTACCAGCCCAGGCAGGGGCAGCCATTCCAGCAGCCCCAGCGCCAGTTCGCCGAGCCAGCAGCAGCTCCGGCCCCAGATGACAGGATGACGAAGCTGGAAAACATTCTAGCTTCATTCATGACTAGCACCCAGGCTGCTATCACATCACTGGAGACAGGTCAGCGGAACCAGGGTGCCATTTTGCAGGATCTGCAGACCCAGGTGGGCATCTTGGCCCGCCAAAACACAACCAGGGCACCGGGGACTCTGCCTGCCACCACTGTTCCGAACCCTCGAGATCCTCACCAGCATCAGCAGCTGGATGCCATTTTTACCAGGAGCGGTAAGACCATATCTGCTGATCCTGTCCCGGCCAGACAGGAGGAACCACTGCCTGCTTCAGCACTTCCAGCCGACGATGCAGAAGTGCGGGTGGAGAAGGAAGCCCCTGCTCCCAAGCCACAACCAGTGGTTAAGGAGCATGTACCCCAGCTTCCCTTCCCCACTCGCCTACACAAAGACAAGCTGGAGACTGAGTTTGCCAAGTTCATGGCAATGTTGAAGCAGCTCAACATCAGCATACCGTTCGTGGAGGCACTGTCGAAGATGCCCAAGTATGCCAAGTTCATGAAAGATATCTGCACCAACAAGAAGAAACTTGGGGATCTTTCGACAGTGATGCTCAGTGAGGAGTGTTCTGCTATCCTGCAGAACAAGCTGCCCGAGAAGCGCAAGGATCCAGGGAGTTTTACTATCCCTCTTACTATTGGCAGCATGCATGTAGGAAAGTCCTTGGCGGACCTAGGCGCTAGCATTAACGTCATGCCATATAAGTTGTATAAAATGCTAGACCTAGGTGAACTTAGCCCTACTAGGATGAGCATTCAATTAGCTGATCGTTCTATTGTGCATCCTAGGGGAATCATAGAGGATCTGCTTGTTGGTGTTGGTGCATTCACATATCCTGTTGATTTTGTTATTCTTGATATACATGAGGATGTGGATGTGCCTTTGATTCTAGGTAGGCCATTTCTTGCCACCGCCAAGGCACTTATTGATGTGCATGATGGAAAATTGATCTTGCGTGCTGGGAATGAACATGCCACTTTTTCTGTGACTGAGTTTGATCACTGTGCTATGATTGCTGTCACGCCTGTGCATGCCATTTCTGATCAGGTACACGAGTCTGTCGTGTACCCTTCTGCACCTCCTATTTTGCAGGACCCTCCTATCATTCCTTCGCCGCCACTCCATCCAGCCTCGCCTCCGAACAAAAAGCTCAAGGAGGAGTGGCGGCCGAAGCAGCAGGTTGCTAAGCCTGCACGGAAGAAGAGTGGAGACCACTATGAGCTGGTCCCACCTCCTGCACCACAACCACCCTGCCCGTCCGGGTACTCACTCGCCTGCATCTTGCCAGATGGGCAGGTCGAGCTGACTGATGATAGTGGTCGCATCCGTCGGGTGCAAGGCCACAACCTGAAGCTGTACCTCAAGAGCGACGTGGATCCGCTCTTGGAGGCACCTGTTCCTGCACCGCCCTGAGTATCCACCATGGGCGTCCAGCTAAAAGACGGTAAAGAAGCGCTTGTGGGGAGGCAACCCCACCATGGTTTGATTTTCTTTCTTGTGTTTTGAGTCGGATTGTAACCCGGTTTGGGTTTGGTTTGTTTTCTTTTGGTTTGGATGATATTTTATTGGGCTGACCATTGGACCTAACATACTGTGTTGAGCTCTTCTGTTTTCCTTTGGCTGTGCTTGCCCCGACGGGCCCGCTTCCAGTCTCCTGCAGTCTGTGCATACCGGTAACATCGTTCCCCTTATCCTTCCCTCTTCTCCATTGAGGGCAATGTCGATCTTAAGTGTGGGGGGATGTTTATCTTTTGACTGCATTAGATCTGTTTGTGTGCTTGGAGCCTAGTCCACTGTCCAAATTTTTAAATTTGAGGGCTCCAAGTACGTGTTTCCGTGCAATTGCCTGCTCAGTATGCTTTGAATTGACAGTCTTTATAGTAATATGCAACCTAGGGAGGTAGTGTAGCACTATGGAGGATGTTGATGCATTTAAGAAGTCTCATTTCTTCTTCATATTGTGTTGGTTGATTGAGTGAATTAGTGATCTTAGGACCCTTGAATTGTGTGGTGTTGTGGATTCTCTGCCTGTCATGGACTCTTGTATCATGTTTTGAAAATAACAGGTGCTCGAAAATGTGCTTCAAAATAAATGTCTCCCGTGCGAATAGGGCGAAAGTGTGTAAGGGGAGACGGGAATTCGTTCCCAATTTCCACCTACTACCTCCAGCCCCCTTACATGTCTTTCCCCCGCACGAGGCTCGAGACATCCGCTCCTGGCATGGCCGGTAAGAGCAGGTTGGGATCCTTGAAAAGAAAAAAAAAAGAAAAGAAAAATAACAGAAAACAAGCAAAACAGAAAAAAAAGGGGTTCCAACCATCTTCAAAGAAAATAGAGCACCTTGAAAAATGTGAGTCCATGATCTTTTGTTTTAGAGAATCTCTTCATCCACGATTCATTTGTCCTCTGTTCACTATTTGCCATGATGCCGACTTGTCGAAGAAGCTATGAGATGACTTGTGCGTCGGTTGACCTTGTAAGTTGCTAAATGATCTAGGAAGTCCTCTACTTACGATCTGGGTTGTTTGTTGCTATAGAGGTCTGGAGAGTTGCATTGGTTTGAGTTAGGTTTGCTTGGGGACAAGCAAACGGTTAAGTGTGGGGGAGTTTGATAACGATGTAATTGCACATGTTTGCGCCCCTAGTTCTTATCCGTTTGAGGGGCATAGTCGTGTGTTGTGGCCTATTTTACGCCGGGTTGTGCTATTTTGTCATGTTTGAGGTCCCAGGTGTCAAAGGGAAGGCTAAGCGCGAGTTTCGGGGGCATTCGGAAGTCATTTCGGTGAGCTGGAGCCAAAACACGGGCAGCCTAAGGCATTACACGGCCGTGTACCTGTGGCCGTGCTTTTTATGCCGAGAGCAAAGTTGATTACACGGGCAAGGCCGAGACAAAGCACGACCGTGTTCCACTAAAGCACGGCCGTGTCCAACACGAAGCACGGCCGTGTTTACCCCAATTGCTGGCCGTGCAATTAAGCCTTGGCCGAGACACGGGCGGAGTCAGGCAAAGCACGGCCGTGTCCTCGACCGTGCTTTGGCCACTGATGCTTTTAAGCAGATTTTCAGCCACAACTCAGGAGGATTCGAGTTTTTGAGAGAGAGATCAGTTCCTAGAGAGAGAAAGCGACGAACAAGAGTCTCCAAGTGCCCTAGATTGATCTTCAACACCATTGGAGGCCAGCTTGAGCTTGGAGAAGTGCCAATCAACGTCTAGAAGCAGGAATCCATCCTTTGCAGTATGAATTCCGTGTCTGATTCTGATTTTGCTTTCTTCTCTATGGAGTAGTTCTCCCATTCATCTGGGTATGGAGAACCCTAGATTTGTATGTTAGGCTTTGATTGTATGAACCCAAGTACTGATTCTATGATTTGATTATATTCGATTGAGGTTTGAATGATTGAATGACTTGAATCCTGATCAAATTCCTGTTGTTTCTGCTTTAACCTAGAATGAGAATATCTGCCTAGGTTAATAGAGTATCCTTGATTGAAGGTAGGGAGTTGGTGACTTTAGTCAAGGAACCAACTCACTATTCTGTACCGGTTTTACTCCGGTAGTGGAGGTTTTGTTCTTAGGGCCTCAATCTGTTTACTCCGGTGGAGGTTAGTCGCCCGCTAGAGACTCAGATTGAGAGGGTCTGAAGACCTTTAGTCGAGACTTCAGGCTGTTTAAGAACCTTCCGCAGTATAACTTTCATAGAAACTGAACTTGGTAATTACAATCCGGCTTAACTGCAGTCTAGGGGGAACCATATCCGGGTGACCTCTTTAACCTGAATACAACCGTTTACTTGCTTTGTTTGTTTAGTAGTTTAGACTTGCATTCCAGTTTCATTGCTAGATAACAAGAATTCACTGAGTAGTCATCAAATCTAGGACCCGGGTTGATAATTAAACCTAAACCCGCTATACTACGCTTTAGGAAGTGGTTTCACTTGGCCAATTCCTGGAGTGACAGTAGAGTCGAGTCAGCTAGGTATGTTCTTCCAGAAAGAGATTGATTCGTTGTGAAACTTCTGATTCTGAAAGATATTTTCCTGCTCTGTCGAAGGGATTCTTGCCCCATCCCCACACTTTCCTTTTCTCCTCATCCGAAGGGTTTCTCTTTTTGTGAAACTCACGTGTATAAAATAAGGGTAACGCTTCATATCCTCGGCATCATTGTTTTCAAATCCTCCTCTCTACCAAACTTTTCGATGGTGCTCAATCACGCTCAGTTGCAATCTCCTACTCTTGTCAAAAACCAGAGCTTTCGCAATGTTGCAACATATTCTCGGTACCTTCGTCGCTTTCGTGATCGTCCTCTCTATCCTTCCTTCTCTATTCATCCATGAACCTTTTCAAAATACGATATGGACATCCCTGCCTATCTTCAAGGACTCGGGTGGGGATCTGTGGTTGAAAATATGAGATTCAGCCTGTGTTCCGAGGCTGTTCGATTGTTTTATGTCAATCTTCGTCATGGTCCTGGGAGTGATCGTTCCTTCTTTACCACACTGGTGGTTGACTATGAGATCAAGGTCAGTCCTGATTTGCTGGTGTCCGTATTGGATCTTCCTCACTCTGGTCATCAAGCGGGTACAAATAGGGACTTCTATAACTTAGGATTTTGCTTCGACGAGGTTCTCGAATCTCTGGCTTATGATATTGGGCGTTGGTTTCCATCCCAAATCTCAGCTGGGCGGCTGCCGGATAATCTTAAGGTGCTCCATTTATTCAGCACACGCTGGTTTTTGCCTCATGATCTAGCTAGGATCGATCTTATTCATTCAACTGATCTATGGATTCATTTTAATGCACGAGTTGGGCGTCACATTAGCTATGCATCTCTCATGTTTCAGCACATGATAAAGTCTGGTATCGAATACTATGGTGGTCCGCTGACCTTTGGTCCTCAAATCACTCAACTCCTGTATCGCTTAGGTATTGATCTTCGTGATAAGGTTACTGTTTGTGAATTTTTGGACGATCTGCGTCCTCAACATGTGCTTGATCGCCTCGACGCACTTGTTGAACCATGAAAGCCTGACACTGGCTCAGAGGGAGTGAGCAACCCCGAATTAGCCACTTCTCTTGTCAACGCAGCTGTTGCAGCATTTAAGCAGGAAGCTAGCTCTAGGAGTGGATCGAAAAGGAAGATGATGCTGGAGAAAGATTTGATGCTACCAAAATATGTTTATGAGTCTAATCAGATCAGTGATCTAATTAGCCCTGACTCAGATTTTGGTGACGAGGACAATATCTCAAGCTATGCATCGCCACATAGCTATCCCTTCTAACTAACTTAGAGTCGTAGCTTAGGGGGGAGGGGTGGGCTAAGTAGTCTAATGGTTGAGGGTGGTAGCTGTGTCTTAGGGGTTGTGGGGGTGTCCTCTTGTCTTTGGTTGTTTAAATCTTAAGTGTGTAGAATAGGTATCCTTTTCACGTATTGTTCAAAGCAGAAATAGAGAGTATTGTCTGAGTTTGGGTAGAATAGGTATCCTTTTCACGTATTGTTCAAAGCACAAATAGAGAGTATTGTCTGAGTTTGAAAATAAAGGAGAGAGCTGTCAGGGAGAGAGATCGTAGAGAAGTTCGATTATCAGGTTGAAATTTTGGCTGGGAGCCATTATTCCTAGGGTGATTCTGATTGAGTGACAGGGAGTCACTGTGGTATTGGTCTTGTATTTTGTAATCCGGAACACATAGTCATAGTATAATGTCAAAGGACTCAAACAGAGTACCTTTGGTCGTGGACTAGTTGATACTGATTTCTCTGTATCGGAAATCATGTAAAAATTGTTGTGTCATTCTATTTTCATTGTTGATTTCATCTACTCCATAATCGGTCTCTGTTTTGAAGGTAGAAAAGGAAGACAGGGGAGCTCTGCTGAAACTTGGCAAACTACAAAAACCTATTCAAAGCGTTGTCGTGTTGAAAAGAACACTCACAAACAAACAAGGCTTTTGTTATAGTAGTTTTAAATTGACAGAGGATTGGTCTTTAAGCCCAACAGTCACAATTGTTACTTGTTTAGGTGTTTCAGATCGAAACAAGTCAGCCAATTTATTTCACTTGACTTTCTTCCTCTTGCAATTTCACGAGCACATTAGGGTTCTTGAAGAAAGGTCAAGAGAAGAATCAGTAGCAGTCTCGTGCTTGCATGCACCAACAATATGAATTCTATGATTTTTGAGTGGGAAGATAACATGGACTATGAGGTGTCTTTCATGGCTATGAAAATGTAGTCTAAACTATCCAAATATTGGTTTGAGAAGATATGTAAAATTTCAAGATGAATTGATTATGTTACATGGCGGTTGTATTAGCTTCTAGGCGCAAGCTTGAATATCTTAAGAAGCTTTCAAGAATGTTTATGGTGAAGACAAGGAAAATTTGGCAGTGGAGGTGGAAGATGAAATTCTTGTGATGTTTGAGTACTACAAGCATAAGCTTGGACTTCATGGTGGTTCTCCTCTACTTTGTTCCAATGTCATGCGAATGTGGTCGGATGAACTCCAAATCGATCCTTGATAGATTGTAGATGAGTACAAGACTTAGAATATTGTTACTAATACTAAACAAGCATAAGATACAACAAATTGGGCATAAAGTATGATAATATGATGCGAATAAATCATGCTAAAACTAATGATTGACGAATAGGAAAAATATTAGCATAAACTAGCTTGCAATGTGGACTAGACATGGTGATTTAGCACAAAACGCCTTGAGAATAGTGGTTAGATAACACTAGTTTGGGTGTTATCAATCACTTTAAACACCGATAAAGTCCATCTTTTATTTCCCTTGTCATAATCTTTTTGTCCAAATGAACTTGGATTCTGCTTAGGCAAACCAGATGCTTCAATAAATAGTGTGGAATTGAGTTATGGAGTCTTTTCTGAGATACCAAAAATTAGCGCCAAGTGCATCGATTCTGCCTTATTTCTACCTAATGGGACACCTCTTGGTTTTATAACATAGGGGCTAGGCAGAATCTAATTCTAGATGTACCTTAGTAAGAATTTCCTGAGGTTCAGGTTGGCTTTTTCCAGGAACCTTGATCTCTTATTTAGGATTGTTTTTCATATTGCTTAAAAGAGATCCTAGGGTTCTCTAGGTGTAATAAAGCTCTCTAAGGGAATGAGGAAAAACAACAATAAAATTGGCAGCCAAACCCCAATTTCTCTATTGTGGCGGCCATTTTTAGAGGTACTCTAGGAATATCATTTCTAATCGATGAATACTCAGAAACCCGTCTCCATGTCCGGTTAGTTCTTTAGTTTGTAGGGTTTGCGAATCTTAGAGGTTCTTTGACTTTGTAACTCTTGATTTTGGCATATATGATTTGATTTCTTCTCTTTCTGCTTTTTTCTTTCATTTAGTTTATCGTTGATACGATTGTATGCTTAATACGAGGACTAGATTAAAAGGCTATATCCTCATACCCGAATTTATGGATGGATGAGATTGGAAATGATCGTCCCTTACGATCGATCCTCAATCGATCAAACTGCTTCGACTTCCTCAAGGGAGAAATCCGTAGGGTCACCTTCGCTGCCTACTAGATCTGGTAATTACCATGGCATATGGTAGGGGTAACCCTAAGAAAGATCAAACATATCATATGTTCTAGGATCAAGAGTTGATTCTTTATTGCTCGTAGGTGCGTTTATTTTAATTTTACTTACTACGGTTGTTGTTTCGAGATTCCTATGTGTGGGTGGATGTCACAGGTGTGAAGCTTATGCATACCTACGTCTCAAATACAATGCAAGTATCGAAGCAGCTTTATTTCATATCGTGACATACAATCTGAATGTCAACTCTCCCACGTGCCTTGGTTGAGCTTGGAATGCATGATCACTATCGTGAGGGTGGAGCGGCTAGATATGAGCATAGTAAAAGGAGAAATACATTTTGGATTACCATAAGCACAACTATGTGTAGTTAGAATCATTGCAGAGTCAAAGGAACTCTAGGGGGGAGCTTGCACATGCAACACCTTCCTCTTCCTCACTGTCCAATAGTGTATATTTACTTTTTTGCATCACGTTACCTTTGAACTCTTACGTTCTGCAAAACCGGAGGCACTTCAACCTCCTAACCTGATCTCTTCTTTAATAGAATATGTAACATCCCGTTCCGTCAAAACCCATATTTCGATCGCTAGAAAATTTCACGATTTAAAATCGAGCATTTCGACAGTATTTCGGCGAAAATCGGATTATCGATCGATCGGATTTTCGACAGTTTCACGATTTATATATATATATTAGTAAGCGGTCATATATATAATTCCCCCTGATCCATTAATTCTCATCTCCATCATCACTTTTACAATTTCTGAAACGAGAGTAAACGAGAAGCAGAGCGCGCACAGGGAGGCTTCTGTGAAAAATTCCCCAGCTCCAATCTTGAGCTACAGTGATCCAAAAATCCCGTAAGTAATGCCTAATTCATCTATTCATCGTGATTTATCGATTTAGAGTTTTAAAACGAGATTTTGGTTCAGGAATTTCTTGAATTCCCGATAAGCCAAATTAGGGTTTCGGAGTATCCGGAAGCTGGATTGAGCCCAAATTTCATATACGAGCTTCCTGCAGCGAGGTAATCAATCCTCTAGTTCTAATCCCTGAATTTCGGCTATTATTTAGGCCGGGGTCCAAACCGCTGAATTTAGCTCCGGCCAGGGTTTGATGTGTTTTTATCGAGAATTTGACCCGGAGCCCAGAACTAATATTGACGGGGATACTGCAGGGGATATTAGGACGGTCTCGGATTTTAATTTGGGGTTCGTTCGAGAAATTGACGTTTTAGTACGGGAAGGTTAAACCGGTGTTTGAACGACCAGAACTGGTGAGGGATTAGCACGGCATACCGGGTTTGTCGTATCACGATAATTATATTGATGCTTAGAATTGATCTAGGTGAACTAGAATGACATGATTAGGGGTGTATGAGCTTTTATGCTATATGATGAACCGTGTATTGTTGTATGATATTATTGACTTGCCCTAGCCGATATGAACCTTGTTTATGTTGATGATTGCATACATGTTGCCATTTGTGGCTTAATTGTTGATATGACTTCATGGTTGTTCGATAAGGGGTTTTGACATGGTGTGATATTATGGTTGTATTTGGATCCATAAGTGGGGGAATAAACTTCCCAGGGTGATATTATGATGTTTAAGGAGGATGACTTGCACGAGGGTTTATCCCGAGGAAGTGCAATTATACGACTCCTGATTTACCTAGGTTGAGCCAATTATGGCCAGGTCAAGTTCATGTGCAAGTAATGAATTATGATTAAGCAAGATGAGATATGAATCATGTGTAAGGATACCAAATATGAGTGTTGTGGTCTCACGGTCAACTACATAGTAATTAGGGCTCCCTATGCTATTACTCTATTATGATATGTATGATAGTCACACCTCTCATGTGGTGGTGACTGAAGGATTCTCACGAGATATGACCACACCCAGAGTGGTGTCGGGGTATGACTACACCCATAGTGGTGTGGGGTATGTATGACCACATCCGACGGGATGTTGGGGTATGTATGACTACATCCGACGGGATGTGGGGTATGTTTCCCGGGAGAGTTATTAGCATGGGAGTAGCCAGGCGCCTATAAGTAAAACATGATAAGATGCATATGCATAAGTCAAGGTGGTTAAGTCTTTTTCCTATTGGGATGTCGGAGGGCTGAGATATGATCCTAGTGCTTTGGCTTGTTTGCTAGATGTATGGTAGTGGTATGCTATGTTATGAACTCACGATGCTATGATTATCTCACTCAGCTATGAGCTGACCCTCTTTATCCTTCTTCTCTGCTTATGCTATGTCTAAGCAGATCATCAGCAGCAGCAGTAGATAAGTGTTAGGTGGGAGAGGAGCTAGAGTTGAAGCCAGGATGAGGTATGGTCTTCAACTATTCTGTGCTTGGACTACTACTCGGGATTTTGGCCAGTGATCCACACCTTTTTGTAAAAAAATGTTTTGAGAACGTTTTTCATGTGCATACTAGTTTCTGATGTAGTGTGAGATATCCACAGGTGTGGAAAGTTAATGATATGTGTATATGTTGTGTAACTGTGTAAGTTGTGACGATTATGGTATGTATAAGTATGGTATGCAGTTAGGAAGTATGAAAAGTGTGACTATGGCTAAGAAAAGCCAATGCATATGGTTGTGAGTATATATGTTTGTGATGAATTATTTTGCAGGTTAAGTTGCAAGAACTGTTAGCCCATTACGCGAGTAATTCATGTCGAAATTTTATTTAGGTAAATTTTGATAATTAATGTAACACCCGAGATTAATTCCGCTGCAATTGTATGAAAAATATGATTAGGAAAAACGTATAGGGTAGGGTGTTACAGTTTGGTATCAGAGCCCGGTTCCCTCTTTTTGCTGTTATGGCGTACTATACCCTATGGGAGTTTAAACACTCCTAAGGAGGGGAGTACC